TTTGGGGATATTCAAAAGCTGTCTCAACAAGGGCATTGGCCAAGTATTTTAGGTGACCCTACCAAAGGAGGGAAGCTAGACCAGATGATTTTTAAAGCTCCCTTCCAGTTTCAAACACAACTATGAGTCTATAGTAGGTATCTGGAAGACTTCAGAGAGGCCGAAAATTCACATTTACTACAAGGAGAGAGCTCTTTAAACCTCATAGGTTTATTGTTATTAAGATCCTATGCAGTTTTAACCTAGAGACTGAAAATTTGTGAAAATAGTTCTACTTTGAATTCATTTGCTTTCATTTGGAGATTTAAGGTGCTGTTAGAACTGTGCAGCTACAACTCATGGTCTCTCAAGGCTTTGTAGTCTGTTGATCTTAAATTTTGTAACAAAAGTTGGTCGGTCTTAACTACAGATTTGTTTCTGTGATTTCTCTTGTGCTTTGGTCACTCTTCCACTTTTCTTTTTCATTTTTCTCTGTGAGTTTAGCTTTCGGAGTGTTCTGTTCTCTTGTAGTTAGACTCTAATGCAATAACTTTCCATCTACTTCAGGTTTTTCTGTGCGTGAAGAATAGGTCTTAAGCCTTTGTTATGTTTTTGTTATGTTGTTATGTTTTAAGCCTTAAGTTATGTTCTTTTGGTACTACTTTGCTTAATTAGAGCTGTTAAAACTAAACCGGAGAATGAATTAATCTGCATGTGATCTCTTCAAATTAAAACCCAGTAATGGGGCAGTGGAGTGAAGAATAGCTGCATAAAAAAATCTATAGAAAAAAAAAGGTGTAATTTTAGGAAAATTTTAACTGAGGCATAATAGTATATATTGTAGTATAAAGTATTCTTGCATTTCATTTTGACACTCTGGGGATGGGACCTAAAATGTGCTCTGGACTAGTGTTTTAAATTTAATACCTAAGATTGTAAAACTTATTAATACAATTTCAAATGAAGGTGGTGATTATTCTTGCTGCTTTTGGAGGCAGCTTCTTGTCTACATTGCTGGAGAGTCTTGGGACTGAACATAATTCTGTCTAGGTGGGATTAAGGTTTATTTTAAAAAGGTATTTAAAAGTCTTCATTAATAGTAATTTTGACCCTATGTATCTTAGCTTCTTGTCAAACACATATAGTTTGTGTTTTCTTGATCTTATTTTATTTTTTTCTCCTTAGATTATAATTTTGTCATTTTCTTTAAACTTGGCTCTGCTGATAGTGAAGACTTTCAGCTCTGCAAGAGGAGGTGTTGTAATGTGGGACAGAGCCAGCAGCCTTAATAGATTTTATACAGTCCAGTCGCAGCCATTTTTGGTTTTACATGAGATAAAGATGAGTTAACATAGAAAAATACTATGAAATCTGTGCATAAGTTGAAATTTTATGAATATCTTACTTGTGTGAAGTGAGTTTAGACATGTGCTTAGTGGGGAAGTGAGAAAAACTTTTTTTAATTGAATCACGTAGAAGAGCCAGCTTTATGTAAAGCATTCGGATGCACTCAGAATGATTAAGCAATCGGTTCTTTCCCCCCTCGCCCTCCCCCCAGTTAAACTTTTTGTGCTGTTTGTCCCTATCATCCTTCAGGATCTCCCACCTACCACATGCCAGCTGACACAGAGCATATATGTGGCTTGAGTGGCATAATGAAATGATCAAGCTGAAATATGTTTTCAGGAAAAAATATGTATGACTGTTTTTTTTTTCCCCCAAATCCCCTTAAATTTCTATCTGTTTGAAGAAGATAGCATATAACTAAACTTGTCAATCCATAGATGCTTACATCTAAATTGCATTTTAAGCCAGGGTATCTTTGTATGAAGAAGAGGCCAGGAATGTGTGAGTTTGTTACATCAGGGAGAGCTAGTTAAGATTATGAAGAAATGGAGTGGTGAATCTGATAGCTCATTTTCAAAGGAAATCTAAAGCTTTCTGGCTGCTGGGCCTTGAAATTTGCAACTATAAAATAAAAATCGACTGTGTAATAAAGTGACTTTACATTAATAACCTCTGAGATAAGCATGGATTTATAGAGATTAAGTTTCTAACATAATCATTTTAATGCCTATTAAAACACGTAACCAACAATGGTGACTGCAGTAGAATTTGTATCCATATTTGGATACCTTATAAGCAAAACTCTGTTACAGGGAAGTTTTATAATTTGGGCTGTATGTGACTTTAAAAAAAAGCACTGAAAATATATCAATTTTGGATGGTTAGGTTGGGACAGAATTTATATGTGTAAAATAGTGAAAATAATGATGGGGGAGAAAAAAGAAGTTTTAGAAAAAAAATCATCTTTTCTCCTATCAGTAGTTCAGAGAACAGTCTGTTAATCCTTTTGTATGCCTAGTGCACATAAAATGTTTATGTTCATCCTGGGGTTCTTAACACATCTGTATTTGGAGTTTTCTTGCTTGTCAAAATACTTTGATGCATTGATCACATCTTTTTATGTAATTCGTAGGGGGTTTAAGTTGATTAACGTTTAAGTATTTTTGCTTCTTATTTTTATTTATTTTTTCTTATTTATTTTGCTTAGTTTTGGATTTTTAAAAAATCTTTCAGGTTTTTATGGTCATACCCATAGTACATCATTCACCTTTCCTTTTTAAATAGGAGTCCTATATGATGTTGTCTTGGCTTGGGTTCAAAAAGAACTGAAGAGGTAAAATCACACTAAGCCTACTTACAGTTTGAATTAGGAAAGAAATGGGAAGAACACCCTCCCCGGGGGTTCTGGAGCCTAAAACAAACAGCAAACAAACTCTCGGGCTTTTGTAATTGTGTGCAGGGAAATCACAGTTTGAGGATGTGTGTGTGGTCAGTGTGACTAAAGGAACTCCCAGTTGTTCTTGGAGTGCTTACCAGTTAATATGGAAATAGTCTTCATAACAGCATACATTTTAGGTTCTCTAATTCACCCACCTAAAGATTTTTTTTTTTTCCCTCTGATTAAAAGTGGAAAGAACCTGGAATACCTCACTAGCCTGCCTCAGCTCAAAGTAACCTCTGTCAAAGCCTTTCTTTCTGCGCCCTCGTAAGCTTTGCATGGTGTTCTTGCTAAATATTCAATATGAATTATTAACAAAAAATCTCACATGGTTTGACGACATATTAAATCTTGCAGAACACAGCTAATTAGGACATCTCATCTAGAAAGTAAGCCCTTTGTAAAAATAAAAATTCACTTTATTTCCCCCCTGGAAAAAACACTTGGAGGAAAAAATAGCTCCTACATCGTAACCTGAAAATCAAAAAATTTACACACTCGTAAAGAACTGAGACAAGTTAATTGAGCCACAATAATCTTGTTCGTAATTGCTGTACATAAAAATGTCATTCCTTTCCTGATAATGTGGAGCTGCTGCTTAACATCAGGCTTGGTGGCAGTCTTGCTCTTCTCTTTTTAGAGAAGATACTAAATCTTCAGTAATGGGCTGTTTAATGGGCTGGCCTCACTTCTGTATTGGGGAGGAGCAGAACAAATCTTAGACGTCCACCGGTGACTTCTCATTTTTTTACCTTGCTTATTGTTTGAAATACCCCTGCTAAATCTTCAATTATTTTGATATTCATATGGTCGTCCAGTCTCTGCCTCCTTCGTATGATCTCAGGTTGCTGCCATCCCAGTGCCATATGAGCATGTTGTTCTGTCAGTTTCCTAAGAGCCAGTAATGCCGCACAGTGCCCACTAGAAACACAAGTGTTGCATACAGCTCGTAAAGAGAAAAACTTCTCGTCTTGCTTTTACACTTCTATGTGATTGCAGAGAGGTGACTTCCCTCTTCTTCCAAATTACCAAGAGGCACCTGGTAGGCCTGGGACTAACTAGCATGAAGTCAAACACTTAAAACTGCTGTAGTTTCTGTTTTTACACAAAACAGTTTTTACAAAAACCTGTCTAGGCCTACAGTTAATTCACTGCTTTGCTTCCTCCTCTTGCTTAATATTCTCCCTGCTCTCCCCAGTTGAAATGCTGTGTGATACTGATACATGGTGCCTAGTTTTGTTTAGCAAGCTGCTTCACACCTCACAGCTTTTTATTAGCTCGAGGATGTCTGCATGGTCTTGTTTGCTGCTTGCTCTGCCCAGCCTTTGTGTCCTCTGGGCCTCAGAACTGGAAATTTCTCAGCTCTGCGGTGTTTAGTATTGCCTGCAAATTAAACTGCTTCAGCATGATTAGAGAGCTGGAGCTGTGCTCTGTTCTTGACAGTATTTTGATGGCTTTTGCACATGTAACTTATTGGAGAGCATCTTATTGCTTTTTCTCTGGTAAGATGGTTCTTTTGTTCTGTACCTTGTACAGATGAAATGAAGGCCTCATCTATACAGTAGATTTATACAATAGAGTTTGGCACAGAATTTCTCATGGTTATAAATAAAAGCCTCATGACAAACCACTAGGCACAGGTTTTTTTCTGGTACATAATTCTTCGTGGGTTGAAAAACTTGCTTATAACTGTTTAGCTACTGTTCCATAGTAGTGTGACGTGTACTTGTTGCTTTAAAGAACAGTAAAGATTTTTTTCAAAACAGTAATATTTTAAATAGACATGACATAGCTATAAGAACAAGGGCAGCACCCTGCTACAAGGAGGCTTGTCAATATCAAGAGTTAGATAGTGTCAAATATTACGTAAATTTATCCTATGTAAATATTATAAGGCTCAATGAACTACATTTACATTATGCCATTGCAAGTAGGCTGTGGTAGAACACGTCCAAGTATGTTTTGAATAAAGTAAACAGCTTTATAAGATGCTTTGCTATTTAATTAATATCATTTTTTTAATTTAATAAAATTCTTATAACTGTTAACATTTTCAATATGTATATATAAATTTCAGGTTCTAAAGGGCTGTACTTATTTTAATAGAAGAAAGTCTTACCCAATGCTGTGAAAAGTAATAACATTGAGTAATTTCTTATATCATTCCTGCTTTTTGCTGTATGCTAATAATTTTTGAAGATAATATTTTATTAATTGAATTTCTGCTTTCTTCTAGCTGACAGCACGATCACTACCTTCCATACAGTCTGATGAGAGACTACAACCTCTGCTCAATCACCTCAGGTAGCATAAACAGAAAGCATAAATGTGTTCTTTCATACAGATAAAACAGATTAACTTTCAGTTTAATAGAAATCTTAACTTAAATTGTATGAAAAAAATAATATGGCTGGCATTGCTGCTTCTGAGAGGTAATAGAAAAATACCTATAGCTTTTTTGAAAACCTTTTTCATATTAAGTGCAAAGTTGGTAAGTTGCTTTATGAACGAAACTCATCATATTCCAAATCACAGTATTCAGAATATGTGCTTACCTTATTTTATATTTTTATGTTTTATGTTCTTTCTAGAAAACTGCCACTCCATCCCTGCTGAATGGAGCCTATTTACTTATTAAATGGGGTTATGGAGAGAGCTGAAAATACGAGCCAATAGTGCTCGACAATGCAGTGGAAAAAGCCTACCTCTCTCAGGAGTGTATAGAATATAAGGTCTTTAAAGGTGTTTTTTTTTTTTTTTTTTTTTTGAATGGGTTTGGGAATGAAGAGTAAGAAAGAACCCTTTTTTAGTATATTTTAGTTTAGACATAGATTTGATCTTCCTAATAAAGGTGATTATTTTCTACTGCTTTCTATATTGATTGTGAGAGTTTACCTCATAAGGTAGTGCAGAGAAAGAAGGCCAAGCAGCTAAAGAGACACTGGCTGAGAATCACAGAATAACGTAGCTTGGAAGACTGCTCTGGAGATGGTTGTGTCTAACCGTGGCTCAAAGCAGGTCTGGATAGACAGTGTTGCTTACCTACTGACCCAGCTGAATTTTCAGTATTTTATAGGTTAGAAATTTACTTGCTACATGTCAGGAAGGAAAGCACTTCTTTGTAATGTACACACCTATGCCCAGAAATCACTGCAGTGGTATGGAATGAGTTGGAAGTGGAAGCAGTGAAGCCCCATCAGGACAGCAGGGCAGCTGAATCCAGAGCTCGTTAATGTGTTTGTCTCCTGGGGGGCTCTTCTGCGTGATGCAACTGTGCCTCAAGTGCTCTGTTCCTGTTTTGGTTCAAAAACACCCAAATAATCTCTTTGCCAGTAATTTTTTAAGGCATACGAACAGTTTCAAGTCTTACTGCTTGTAATGTACATGAAAATAGGAAATAGCTTTTAGTGTATCTGTTTGTCTGTTTATGGTTAAACATAAGAACAGTGAATGAGAAATCATCAAAGTTAACTGTTACATAACTAGCTGGCGAATACTTCTGAATGCAGATTGCCTTCCATGTTTTTATTACCATTCATCGTATTGGCATTTTCAAAAATACTCTTCAGCAGCATTCCTTTCACCATTTGAAGCTAGAGCAATTAGGTTAGCTTTTTATAAGTGATGCTCTCTGAGTAATTACTGAGAAATTTGATTTTTCTTCTGATATATGCTATGCATCTATATAAGCAGAACAGCCTCCAGTATCACAGCAAGCAGTCTTTTATGTCTCATTTATTGTATGAGGACTGGAAAAGTTTCAAAAAAGCTGAGAGGTGCTTTATCTTGAATTTATTATATCCTACTAATTTTTTGCATTTTCTGATACTAAATTGCACTTCTACGTTAATCATTTTGTGATTTGCATGCGTTTTGCTTTTGCCAAAATGGAGGGGCAATTAAGCTATGTCAATAATTACATGTTGTCTATTTTAAACAAACGTGGAAAAAGGCGAAATACATTTAACTTTTTAACTTGCAAGATGTCATGGGTCAGACAGATGACCAAGTAGATATTTTCTGTTATTTCTATGAAGCGATGATTCGTTTTTACTTTGTCCTACTCATAAAGAAAAGGCAAGTATTGGTTTTAGGGTTTCCTCTTCTTTGTGTGATATTTCTTTCAGCAGTATTTTATTTTTGGCATATGTCAACAGAGCAGTATGAGGAGAGTGAAAGCTTAGTTAGAAAAGTGTGAAAAGAGCAGGCAGTTGAAGGTTATGCAGCACTGGTGGCTGTTAATGCACTGCACATTCATTGGCAGCTGTTCATACCTGCCTGCGACTTCAAAATTAGCAAGTCCTCGAAAAAGGTCATTTTGCCAAGAATTATGTCTGCATAGATATTTTAAACCTGCCTATTTTTTAATGAGCATGTATTTTGTAATTGGACTCTTCTAGGCCAAAGTTATTTTATGTGTGACTTGGATGCTCTTTTTGTCCTATTTTGTTTCACTAACGATTTTTAATACTAATTGTAACAGACTGAATGAAATAAATAACCTTTGGTTTTAAAAATATTTGATATAGAATGGTGTTTAGGGATTTCACATGCTCCCAGTAGGCTACAAGAAGGCTTAATGCGCTAAATCTTTTGCAATTATTATTTTAGTAACCAATTATAGCTCATTAAGGAAGCTCTAGAAGCATCTGTACTGTGTTAATATTCTAACATAACTTTGCAGAAAAGGAAAATGTGTCCAAATGCATGAGAAATACTCTTGCTTCGTTATTCAAAGGTATTTTCCTGATTTTATAGTGAAATTACAGTATCGTGACACTGCTTAAAATCTTAAGCAGGAATTATTTCAAAGATGGATGAAAGTTGTCATATGTATTCTTATCAAAGGACTAGAGAACTGTGCCTGTGCACTGAGCCTTGTTTATCTTGCAGCACGTTTTTACTCTGTGTTCCTATTTTTTAATTTTCCTTTTTTTAGGATGCCTGCTTATGCCTTAGTGTTTTGAATGCATTGAGTTTGTAAAATTACATATCAGCTCAACTTGTGCTCAAAAAAAAACATGTGTGAGAGGGGAAGCAGGGACAGGCAGCAAAAAAGTGTGTCAGAATTGCTGGGGTAGTGAGGCATATGGGGCTAAGACAAGCAAGAACGATTAAGGATAATAAGAGGGATTTTACAAGGAACTTTACATAAGGAACTTCTAGGGTAAAATGTCCGCTAACGGAAGCCGGAGATAGCCTAATGAGTAATTCACTCTTTTTCCGTATTACCCATCCAGAGGATTGTGGAGAGAATGGCAGAGCACCAGCACAGGGCTACTAGAGAGAGACACTTTGACTATGTGGAAAGGCTGAGGGAATTGGCTTTGTACGGTCTGGTGAAGAGAAGGCTTAGGGATGATCAAATAAGCTGCCTACAACTATTTGAAAGGCAAGCACCACAGTACTGGAGTTTCTGAGGCTGCCAAAAGATATAACAAGTGGTAGTCGTCCCATATAGCAACTTGAGAGGTTCAGGTCAGACACCAGGAAAAACTTCTCTGCTAGGAGAGCAGTGCAGCAGGCTGCCAAAACATGGAATCCCTGTTCTTGGCAGCTTGAGGACTCAACTAGAAATAACCCTGAGTGGTGTCCTTCCTGAGAGGGAACAGGACCAAATTGTCTTCTGGCGTACTTTGCAGCCAGTGTTTGTATGATTACACTGAGAGTGTCTGCAAATGTTAGTCCGTGAAAATGATAAAGAAAACAACTATTTTGTAAGTTCATATTTTTTTGTGTGTGCAAACATGTTCATCCTTATTCTCATTAATGCTCAGAAATATGTAAAGAATATTTAATACCCTACTGTGTCACTTCCTATTTTCAACATCTGCAAAGATCTAACTCTAGTAGATGGAATGCTATAGTGAATGCATCCATGATGTTGCACTGCTTGTCAGAATGATCCTAGAGCTGTTTATTTGAAAGACTGAGATTCTAGTATTGGAAATGTGGATATGATGATTTCTTCATATACTAACAATGTGAGTGTATGTGTGAACAATCCCTGGAGAAGTTCATACATCCAGCAACTGGAGCACTTTTGATAAATAGTTCTTGTGCATCTAGGTAAGTAAGAACCTTGATCAGGAAGTAACCACAGAAGCTCTGTGGAATAAAAGAAAGGGATGAATCAAAAATAAAAGCTAAATTTTAGAAATCATAAAGAAGAGGGGGAAGAGGACAGTCACAAGCTTGTTTGAACTGTGTTGTCCTAGTGTGTTTTCAAACAGTAGCAGGCTATTTGGTAATGCTCACTGACATGAAAAGGGAGGAAAATTATCTGTAGAATAAAGGGTATTCTTCTTGCTCTTTTGCAAAGTTCTCAAGATTGCCATTATTTTCCCTTTTATTCCTACTAAAAATCTATGGAGAAAGCAAACTGTGAGGTAATTGAGGGACCTGGAAAATCTGTACTGGAGAAGATCAAAAGACCTGATACGTAACGCTGAATCCCAGGACTCCGGTCTGTTGTACTTTTTGTAAAAGGAGTTTATTTAGCTAGCCAAGGCTGCTGAGCAGTCCGCTTTATGCCCAGCTCCAATATTTACCATGTATGCTGGATGGATAGCGCATGCTGAGTGCTGCCTTTGAATGCAGGTTTGTGGAGCTGAGTTCCCTGGTGAAAAGTGTAAGATATCAAGCAATGTTCACCTTATAAAGGTCATGTGCTACTTTTTAATGTAGTGGGAATTCCTCATGCATACTTCCTTCCTATTTGCTTGTCATACTGTGAACATTTGAGTTGTTCAGAGTCTAAAAACTTTCCTCCCTTTTTTTCTCCTTGGCATTTTGTTTTCTATCCCTGCAGTAGGTGGTTTTACCATGGCCTGTCGGCAGGATTCGGAGAACATGCCCTCTTTTTAGCAGCAATGCCTGAAGTTTTACTGTGTTCCTCTGTAGTAAAGGGCCACCTCTGTGTGTCTCCCCTTGCCTGGCCAATGCTTTCTACAGATAGTAGGAAGAGACCGGTTGCCTTATTGCAGTCATACCAATGCTGAAAAAAGGCTAAGCTAAATAGCTAAGGTCATGAAGCAAATCATCTGAAGTGACTGTGTTAGTTTGCTATCTGCACTCATCTTGGAGTGTGATAACTGTCTTGAATGGTCTAGAGTTAGGCTGCTTTCTGTGCTGTTGCATTTAGTCTTTGGGACTGTTATTTTTTAAAAAAATTTGTTCATAGTGTGAGTGCGTAAAGTGATGCTGATCCATTTTGCATTTGGGTACTAATTTAGTAGAATTGATAGTAACAGAAATGTTCAACTTGTGCTTTTAAAATTCTTACTATTCTTTTATCTATTCAGCGAGGCAGGTTTTCCAAAGGTCTCTCATTTTTTAGCGAGTTTGGTACTGTTGCAGTTTTTAGTGAAGCGAGCCCGCCCTGTCTCCATAGGACTTCCCACTTCCTTACCTTGCTGCCCTGGACATCACCCAGCGTTTCTGCCATGTCGGTGGAGTTCCTGCAAGCCGGCACTTTGAGCGTTAGCCCTTTACTCGCCCTTCAGAGAGTGGTTGCTCTTGCTGCTCTTGGCTTCGTCAGGGCTTTTGACACTGTCCCCTGTAATGCCCTCAGTGGTAAAGTGATGAAGTACGGTCTAGAAAAGTAGCAGAACTGCTGGCCTCGAAGGGTTGTGGCGCGTGGCAGTCCCTCCACCTGGAGGCCTCTCAGCAGTGGAGTACCCCAGGCCTTGGTAGTGGGGGCCAGTCTTGGTAATGAGGATCAAGCCAGGAAGTTTGCAGTGCACTTGGATCATGGGGAGAGCTTGCTAAGCTAGAAGGCTGTGCTACTGTCCCAAGGGACATTGAGAGGCTGGAGAAATGGGCAGAGGAACCTGCTGACCTTGGGCAAAGGGAAGCCCTTCCCCTAGGGAGGGAAGTAACTGTGTGCACCCAGACAGGCTGGGAACTTGCTTGCTGGAGAGCAGATTTTTGGAGAAGAGTGTGGAAGTCATAGGTGGCCCCAAGCTGGCCAAGAACCAGGAATATACCCAGGGGGGATGAGGAGGCTGAGAGCCTCCTGGGAGGTCTTAGAGTGCTGTGAGCAGGTCGTAGGAGGTGCAAACATCCCATGGGAAGTGACTGAGGAGACTGAGCCAGGCTTCTCTTAGTGGAGCCCAGGGAAAGGACAAAGAGGAGCAACAGGCACAAATTGCAGCGTAGCAATTTCGCCTAACCATAAGATGAAAACTCTTACTCTGAGGGTGCTCGAGTCCTGGGGCATGTTGTTCAAAGGGCAGGCAGAGTGACCCTGCTCTTGTTCAAATCCTGACCGACTTCAGGAGGCCCTGAGCCATCAGGTGCAAAAGAGCCAGCTCTGGGCAGGAGCTTGGACCAGCTGATGAGCAGAGGTAACCTCCAGCCCCAGCTGTTTTACGGGCTTCTGTGGTCCTAATTCGGAATGACGCCTTATCTCCCACTTCAGAGTAAAGAAAGGAAGGAATCCTTTTTCATGTTGTCTCTAATGTTGGTTTTATAAATCTAAATGCTTTACATACCTGTCAAATACTGTTTCTTCTTTTTTTTTTTTTTTTTTTTTTTTTTTTTTTTTTTTTTTTTTTTTTACTGTTATGGAAAATATATAACCCTTGATGTGTAAAAATATTTTCTTCTCACATTTTTAAACTGTTGTAATTATTTTGAATGAAGTGATATATTTCATGTTGTACCGTTTGCTTTGTTTTTCAGCCATTCTTACGTTGGTCCAGACTACAGTGTGCAAAAAAACACTGGAAAAATTTCTCTAGAACAAATTGATGCTGTAAGTTCTCTATTTCTGTGATATTATATGGTGATATCTACCTTCTTAAAATTAAAACCTCTCTTTCTGTACATAGATAGCATAAAAAGTCTTGATTTCATTTTTTTTAAAGATTTAACTAACAACCATAAAAATATTGATTTTGTGTGCTTTCGCAAATAGCTAACATAACTATATAAAAAGAATGTTTTTTAATTTAATTTTGCAATTTTTAATATTTAGTTAATAGTTTCTGTTTTGTAATGTTTATTTGGGAGGTTTTTTGGACTTTCCACTTAAAGACTGTAAATGCGCGTGAACTATGCACAGACAAATAAAAACATCTTGCTTTATCTGAAGTTTAGAAGTGATATATTTTGTTAGTGTGTTTTAACTGTGGCAGTGTTCCTTTTGAACTTAACTGTCAAAAAAATAAAACCCATATACAGGTAAGTTTGAATGATGCTCTCTTTCTGAGATTCTATATTATGGCAAAAAAAAAAATCTGCAAAGCAATCGCAGTGGGCTTTTCTCCTGCTCATAGTTCCTCAGAGGTGTTAAATACCTGTTCAAATCCACCTTTCTGTTGCAGAAGCTAAAATAAAGTAGCAGCAGCTTTGTAATTGAACTGTGGCTATATTTCTGACAGCAGTTAAAATTTTAATACTTTGTAGCTGAAGACTAACATCTGTGCTACTCTTTCACATTGTTACTGGATGGTTATTGAATTTGAAGGTTTAAGAACGCACTTTTTATCTTCAGTTCAAATGATCTCTACACATGCGTTTCTGTCTAGCTGTTGGTGTTTTCAGAGATAATCACTAAGTATACATCCTCCAAGCAAAATGGACAGTATGTCTTAAACACATGTTTTCCTCTTGACAGCTCTCTGTGAAATCATTCCCTCTTTGCATGCGCCAGCTGCACAAAGCCCTGCGTGAGAACCATCATCTCCGTCACGGAGGCCGGATGCAGTATGGGCTGTTCTTGAAAAGCATCGGTTTAACTCTGGAACAGGCACTGGAATTTTGGAAGAAAGAATTTACTAGAGGAAAAGTAGATGCAGACAAGGTAATTCAAATGAGTGATATCAATGCATATGAATGTGAGGATGTATTTAATGTGTGCTTTATGCTGCCTATTTGAAGAGGTGCTTCTTAAAATTGTGCAAAAGGCATGTTAATGTTGTCTTCATAACCAAGTGAGAAAAAATATTATTCATTTTCTCACTCTTCTGAAGTATGGGAACTCAAATCAAGGCATAAAACCAGAGGCTTTTTAGAGATGAGAACTAGAAAAATGCAGTCCTTTAAGTTCTTTCTTAAAGTCTTAGTAAAGGTAATAACTGTAACTGCTGCTGGATACTGGTTAATTTCTAGCTGAATTCAGGAAATTGTAGATTTTTTTCAGTTGCAGTTTCCTATATTTAAAGGATACTAAAAGAACAAGCCCTCAGAAAGTAACAAAAAATGTAAATGTGTGCGTGTCAACACTCACAGTTGTCTTATACCTTGATACAAGGACCTAGGTGTATGCAGGTGGATCAAGACACTTCCCTGTAGCATCTCTGTTTCATACACTGCATAGGCATAGACAGGCCTCTAATATTACAGTGTTGTAGTTGATGAAGTTTGTGAATGATGCAAAAGACGGTTGTTACAGTATTTTTCACACAGAGGTCACTATTTCTATATAATCTTCATAATTCCTTTGAATTTCTAGCTGTCTTTAGCCTCTTGAGGGGAGCATAGAAAGCTGGCTTGAAAGACTTGTTACTGAAGTTAGCGGTCTGTTATTTACAACAAAGTTATACTGTTCTGAAAAGTTAAGATGAACACAATTCTTACTGTGTTCATATCTTCTTCTTTTGATGTTTTTATTTTCTGAATATCATGCCATTGTTCCTTTTCTATGGGGATAATTATACTATCCCCAATAGTATAAGAATGGGGATAATTATACTATCTTGTTTTATTGGAACGTTGTGAAGGTATGTGCATGATACTTGGTGAAGACTAAGGTTAACTGTTCAATAATGTCTGGTGGTGCAAAGAGGAAGGATTTGATTTGCTACAAATGGTTATGGTTTCAACATTCATATTCTGTATTTAGTGGCAGTAATATTTATATTGGCTGTCAGTCTTAAGACTTCTTGACACACAACTTCAATTTCACATCCAGCAGCAGCAGTGTGCTGCAGTGCCTATCACAAGCATAAACACAAGGAAAACTTGACCCCAAGAGAGGAAGTGCAGGCGTTCCCCATGATTCCACGATAAAAACACTGTAGAAAAGATTGTAAAAAGGGTTTTGCCCTCTGAGAGGAATTTGCAAGTGTGTAATAAAGTGCGAAATATATTCGGTGATTAAAAACGAGCAGGGCTCACAATGCACCAAAATTGGTAGTGATCTATTTGGAGTAAGTGATCATGAAGTATGTGCTCACAACAGATATATGCAGAGTGTAAAGTGTTTTTGCTTGAAGCACCATAATTAAAATTACTCTGCAAATTACTGGGCTAGAAATATGTAAATGGTAAATTGTTGTTGTTAAGATGATAGGATCAACTGTCAAGTGGTGGTAAATGCGTTCTGAATGTTTATGCCAATTGGCTTCATAACCTCAATGTAATTCTAAGGTATTGTTTGTTTTTGTTTCTGTAAAATGTAATCCTACTCCGAAGCAAAAATATTAATTACTTTACTCTTTGATCTCCTGTTTCTTCATATTTTTAAAGATCTTTATTCCTAACTTTAAAAGAGCAGGGAAAAACCTGCCATGGCTTTTAATATTTGAAAAACTTAAAACATACAAAAAAATCTAAAGAATAAGGTGAATCATAGAATCAGTAGCAAGTTAAAATTAAATAATTACAACATATTTCTAAAATGATCTGAGAACTAAAAATGAAATCCACTTTTTGTTAATTGTCTGTGGGTAACTTTTTCAGATCGATTCAGGTGATTAATTTGAGAATATGAAATGAGGCTTGAAGGCAAGGTATTCAGACAAAAGGAAAATGAAATCACGTTCTCTGGCTAATAGTCTAAGTTCTTATAAGGATGGATGATTTTTAAGGAGGGCAGCTTATTGCTTCCTACTTTGGTGTATATATCCTTGTGTTGTGTTGAAATGTTCTCTTCCAGTTCTTTAATTATTTTCTACTATTTACAGAAGAAATAGTAGTGCTAGTTGTGCACTTCGAAAAACCATTTCTTTGATAACTGTTTATACAACAGTGAATTTCATATTTTGTCAAATATGATACTGAAATATGTATAAATACTGTGCAAAAGCTTAATAAATCTCTCAGTATATTTTAAGGCATTAATTTTGCTCTATTACCACTTTCATCCTGATGATAGTTGTAGATTGTCTCTTTGCAAATGATAAATGAGGCCGAGTCTGGTTGGAGGCCTGTGGCCAGTGGTGTCCCACAGGGGTCGGTACTAGTACCCAGTGCTCTTCAACTTGTTCATCAATGACTTGGAAGAGGACACAGAGTGCACCCTGGGCAAGCTCTCAGATGATACCAAACTGGGAGGAGTGGCTGACACTCCAGAGAGGTGTACTACCTTTCCGAGAGACTAGACAGGATGGAGAGTTGGGCAGCAAGAATCCTCCTGAGGTTCAACAAGAACAAGTGCAGGGTCCTGCACCTGGGGAGGAATAACCCCAGGCACCAGTACAGGTCAGGGGTTGACCTGCTGGAAAGCAGCTCTGTGGAGAGGGATTTGGCAGTCCTGGTTGACCACATGTTAACCATGAGGCAGCAATGTGCCCTCGTGGCCAAGAAGGCCAATGGGATCCTGGCCTGCATCAGGAGGAGCGTCGCCAGCAGGGCGAGGAGGATGATTCTGCCCCTCTCCTCAGCTCTGGTGAGGCCGCATCTGGAGTAGTGTGTGCAGTTCTGGACTCCCCAGTACAAGAAGGACATTGAGCTTCTAGAGAGGGTCCACTGGAGAGCCATGAAGATGATTAAGGTACTGGAGCATTTGTCATACGAGGAAAGACTAAGCGAGCTGGGCCTGTTTAGTCTGGAGAAAAGAAGGCTGAGAGGAGATTTGATCAACATGCTCAAGTATCTGAGAGGTGAATGTAGGGAGGATGGGGCCAGGCTCTTCTCTGTGGTGGCCAGACCACAGGACGACGGGTAACAGGTGTAAGTTGAAACACAGGAAGTTCCACCTCCATATGAGGAAGAACTTCGTTACTGTGAGGGTGACAGAGCACTGGAACAGGCTGCCCAGAGAGGTTGTGGAGTCTCCTTCTCTGGAGATCTTCCAGACCCACCTGGCTGCCCACCTGTGCCACGTGCTCTAGATGTCCCTGCTGGAGCAGGGCTCTTGGACTAGATGATCTCTAGAGGTCCGTTGCAATCCTAAGCATTCTGTGATTCTGTGGTCTCGTCTGTCACTGTTCCTGCTCAGTTTGCAGAGTTGGTACCTGAGCGCATCATCGTGTCCTGCTCAGAGCAGCTTTGCTGTCTGTGTGACATGACTGAGAGCAAGACTGTCTTCAAATCCTGTCTGCTGGAACTCTGTCCCCTGTAGGATATGATGGTGACATTGTTACTTGGCATGTCGCTCTCTCTTCCAGATTTAATCTTCTATATTGGCTTTCTCCAGTTTCATATGGTTTTCTGTGGCAGTCAGTCACAACCAGCAATAACCTGGATTTCTTTCTTTTTTTTTTTTTTTCCCAGTTGTTGTCAGCTATTTTTTCCATGCCTGGGAGAAGAAAGGGCAAGACTCAGACTTAAGCCTTGCTAAGGGTCATTATGAAGGTTTTGATTCTTTACTAATGAACTTCAAGTGATTACTAATATAGTCTACGTATTTCCATCCACACATAATTGTGTATGAGACTGATGGCAGACAGCCCACACACATTTCCCCTTTGATGCTGTATATGGTTATCTCACATGTCTTCTTGACTTCCTTTAAGAAGTGATGAAGTTTGGAAAAGAAGATATATCCCAGATATCCCAAATGAGTTTTGGTGATTCAGTTTCCTGGCTCTTTCATTTTTTTCTGGAAATGATCCTAGGAGGTCTTTGACTTTGGATCCAAGACTGAAACTTTACCTTGATTGGAAGCAACTTGTGATAAATGTTTCTGCCAGGACCAGCCAGGAGTGCTACAAGATGGTTCTTGAAGGTGGATTTTGGTCAGTGATCCCCTTTGAATTTACTTCTCCTACCTTTGTAAAAAGCCTGGCTTATACATTTAGCAGAATGTTTGAGGTTGGAAGGGGCCTTTAGAGACCATCTTGTCCAACCCTGCTGTTCAAACAGAATTACAAAGGGCAGGCTGCTCAGGACCCTGTGTCTCCAAGGAAGGAGACTCTACAGTCTCTCTGGGAAACCTGTTGCAGTGCTCAGTCACCCTCGCGGTAAGGGAGCATGTTCGAATACAACTTCCCATGTTTCATTTTGTGCCTGTTGCCTCATCCTCTCACCGGGCACTGCTGAGCGGAGTCTTGCCTGTCCTGTCTATTTACCCTCCTTTCAGATATTTATATGCAGTGATAGGTTCCTCCACTTCAGTCTTGTCTGGCCTGAAGATTCCCAGCTCTCGCAGCATCTCCTCATGTGAGTGCTGCTCTAGTCCCTTCACCATCTTAGGAGCCCTTTGCTGCACTCGCTGTGCTTTATCTTTGCTGTCTGGGGCAGCCCATTGATGCATAGTCCTCCCGGACTGGCCTCACTAGGGCTGAGTAGAGGGGAAGGGGAGTTCTCTGCTTCTCCTGTTTTTAAAGTGAATAGAGTTTCTGGTTGTCAGAATTTGGGTCCTTTCGGTGATTGGATGGTTCTTATCAGCATCATGTTGGTATTCATTAGGCAGACCTGTGAAGTGGACTTGATTCTTCGGGTGCATGTTAAACTTGTCTTTCTGATGCTTGAATCCCATCTGATTTGGGAGATCTTTTGCCATTGAAGAGTGTGGGGCTTTACTGAAGTTCTTGGTAAGTCTGTGTTGCTGACCTTCTGATTCACTGGCTTCCCACTGATTTGACTTGTCTGTTTTTGTTCTGCCACAGTCACTGTGTTTGAACAAGTCCTTTTCAC